CTATATCTTATCTATAAATGCCCCCCCCCCCTTGAGGGCTCTGATATGCTGTACTAGGCCACCCTTTCTTGTGAACCTTAACTTTTGCTTAGTGCTAAGTCTGCTGCTGGGCTGCTTACTTCCCAATTTGGGCACTCTTCTCATCCCACTCAGATATTGACACCCCATTCTGGGACCCTCCTACCTAAACATCCTCCTCACCTAGCTTGGACTCAGTCACCTGGCCTCAGATGCCCTTTCCATGCTAGCTACCCCTTCCCTCTTGGGCTCTGACACCCTATGCCAGGCCACTGCTGCCTTCTCCTCCATGAATGAAGGCTTCATCAGGCCCTTCAGGCTCCACCCTATTATGTGTGCAGCCTTCACTCACAGGCACCCTCCTGCCCTCACTTGTGCCCCACCACCCCTCCGTGAGGACATTCTCCATACCCTTCTGGGACTCAGAACTACACGCTATAGCACTGAACACTTAATGTGGGTGCCCTCCTCACCTTCTGAGGCCTGGACACCATAGCACCCTCACTGTCCCTTCCCTGCAAGGATTCCCTCCCAACCCACTCCAGCTCCCAGACCCACAGGATGCCTGGCACACTCTGTGCCAGCTTGGACAGTCTGTTCTGAATTGTCACACCTCCTTTTACCTGCATGGGGTCTGATGCTCTGCATTAGGCCACTGCTATCTACATGGATACCCTCCTCACCTTGGTCGGACTCCAGCACCCTGTGCTGGGCCACCTTCCTCCTCATGGGTGCCATTCTCACTGGACTTGGCTCTAATACCTTACCTAGTGCCAGTATGGTCTGTGCCTTGCTTTCCCTCTGCTGATACATGCCTTGCTCAGCTCTAGCTATTAGCTTTTGAACTAAATTGCCTGGAAGAAAAGGAAGGGGGAAGGAGGAGGGAAAGGAGAGGGGAGGGGAAGGAAAGAAGGAGAAGGGTAGAGAAAGGAAGAGTGGGGAAAGAAAGCCTGGAAGTGGCTTTTGACAGAGCTTACTCAGACCAAGCCACGAACCCAGGGACATCATTCATATTTTCCTTTTGTTTTCAGAGGTATTCATTCTTCGAACAATTTGAACATTTAGCCAACATTTCAGTATTCTGTGCCTTCCTCAGGGTACTGGAGAGACTTTTTCTCTGCAAACAGCTGTTCAGTATGATACCACCAGGGTCCTCCAGTATATTTATAGCTTTGGAATTCACAACTACCTATAATTTATACATGCATAGTTCTTCAAAAAATGCAAAAATTAAATCCTTCTAACTTATAGGGAGTATGGAATCCAATCAGTTTTAGCAAGCTTTCCTGTATATTAATTACCATTTATTTGAATGCTGTTTAAAAAAAACCATAAATCTGTAAAAACCTACATTTTGTAACCTTGATCAAACATTATTTTTAAACTCCTGTTGCAGTTTGGGAATTTTGCAAGTCCTGAAACAAAGAATAAAATGTCATAATGAAACTAGTTTTTATGATGAAATGGTGGTTACAGTATAATTATTATAATTAATGCTAAAACCTAGCTATAATTCAACACGTTTGGCCATAGCACTTCTCCAGTGACTCACATTGTGACAGATTTACTCCCAGGTAATGTGATGAGCTGTGGCTGAATGTTCTCATTCGTGTATGTGGTGTAATGGTTTATTATAACAATATCACGGCTCTGGTGGTGAAGCTTTCCTGCCATTGTGTTTCCTCATAGGAAAGAGTCTCAAAAAAAAAAATACACTACTTTGTGTATCAACTTTTTAGTGTTTCTCCCAACCAAGGCTCCCTGAAAAGGGAGGAACAGCTGCAAATAAGACCTATTCTTTTATGTAATAAGCTGCCAAAAGCTAGAAAGTGATGACTGACATTCTGCTTATCGCAATAGGCTGAAGAACAATTTTGCATGTTCACAATGCAAGAAATACAGCTGTGGTTCCTGTTATCGACAAAAGGCAATGCAGGCAGGATTCCATAGCTTCATTGCTTCAGTCTGTGACATTAAGGTTCAACCTCTGCACGAGACGCATAAATATCCTTTGGATTTTCTTCAGTAAGCACACACTAGAGGTTAATAATGTGGGGATGTTTGATTCCCTGCTGTTTTAAATAATTTCATGGAAAATCTAATGCAGTAGGACACTAGTTTAGAAAGGTTATTACCCTCATCAAACGATAGCACTTCTTTCCTATTATTTTCTACCAATTTCTTGCCCTTATAGCTCCTCTCTCTTCATTTACCACAAATGATTCTTCAAAACGACACTCTGTGGTTGGGTGGAGATGGGATTGGAGAAAGCTTAATCCCTAATCAGGGCCCTGTCAGTGCTGGTAGTAGTGTGCATCTTTCTTCCTTCTTCTGCTTGCTGGAGCTTAGATGCAAGACAGAGATGCACAATCATTGGAGGGGAGTCATTGGAAACCAGCTCCTACTGCCTTGCTGGGGCCATTTTACATGAGGCCATGAGATCTAGAGCCCACAGGGAGACTCCAGGAAGTTACAGTTGGAATGGCCCACCCCAGCTATTCTCAACTAAATTGTGGTCTGATTTGCTAAATTCTTGAGTCATCATTGCCTCTGTTATGGCAGGTACTTACAACAGAACTCTAAGAATGCTCTTGGGCTCACAGTTTTAGGATTAAGGAACAATATGGGGTTCCATGGACTGTGCCATTCCAGGCTAACTAGGTGTGAAAGAGACTGCCTGTTCAATATTCATCTTTTCTTTTCCTACCAGGAAACACTTTAGGTAGGTGGCCATGTGCACTTGTTCTGGCCAATGAGCATAAGTTGTTTGAGTAGCACTTTTGGGAAAGATCTTTAAAATGGCAGGACAGACCCAAGCTGCCAGCTTGGGTTCTCTCTTTGGGGTGACCACCTGTCTTGGTTTGCCTGGGATTGTCAGGGTTCCAGAGGCATGGGCATTTCAGTCTTAAAGCCCAGATAGTTCTAGGCACACTGGGTTAGTTGATCACCCTGCCTCCCTTTCTTCCAGCACAATATATGCATGCTGGTTGAAGTTCTAGCAGCTATGTCATGACCATGAGGTGACAAACTCATCCTAAGGGTGACTGGCCAAAAGGATAACAGGAGTTTGATTCCATTGCAACTGCCCTAGACTTCTCAGTACATAAAGAAAAAAATCACTCCCAATTTAGTGAAACAATATTTTTTGGAGTGTAGTGGTTCTTTTTCAGCCACCGCACATTCCATTAATGTTAGCTTAGTTCAGGAGCCCTGTTACGCCCACATGGAGTGGCAGACTTTCCCTTCTGACTGCAGAACTTCTAATTCCTTGGAGAGAGATGGTTTGAACATTGTGAAAATGGTTCAAATCCAGGTCTGTCAGACTCCAGACTCTCTCTTCCTGTGACTTCACACTGAATTTCGTTGTTCTCAGCCCTCACCCCTTTAAAACGTACCCTCAAAAGAACTCTGAGACAGATTTGACTGGAACTCAGACCAGCTCAGTGTCTGGAGAGAAGGGTCCTTGCAGGTGATGTGGCCCCCTGGTGCCCTCATTTACTGTGAGGAGGAAACAGAGGCCCAGTGAAAAGAAGGGATGTGGAAACCTGAGTCCATTTGCTCTCTTTATTGTAGAGGCTGCCTCTCTGAGCCTGCAGCTGCCAGCGTGTCATTCCCATTGCCAATCGCAGTGAGCTCATCCTAGCATTCCCCTCCTCATCCTTTGACTGTGAACTTAGCATACAACCCCTCTTTCCGGATTTCCGTGTTTGTGTTGCAGTGGCATCTTATGACAGGAACTTCACAGCTAAAATAATGCTGCCATTAAGAACTTGAGAGTTTTGTTCCAGTTTGATTTTTCTGTGGATGGGTGTGGGGCACTGACTTTGAATAATTGCAATTTTTCATAAAAATTATTTACCTTTTACTTAGTTCAGTATCAGAATTATCCTTTCCCATCAAGGAAAGCATAGTACTGGGCTTATGTTAAATATTCAAACATTTTTTTTGAAATAAATGACAAAAAGAAAGTAATTAAAACATACTTACTGAGCACCTATGGCATGCCAGCAGTCAGGAACATTCCAGTTGCGGGGGGGGGGGGTGGTATCTGTGCAATACCAGGTGTTAACGTTTTGAATACCACCTCTGGGGCAAGGAGCACATGCATGTGCACATGCACACACACATGTATGTGCACATGCATGCATCTGACTTAATTCTCACACAAACCACTAGGAGGTAGGGAATGAGGCTCAAAACAATCACAAGCTTACTGAAGGTAGCACAGTCACCAAGTGGCCAAACAGAGGTTTGAAGCCATGTCTTCTAACCTCAAGACTGCTCATTTCTTTTGAATCAAGGTATTGTTGATGGTCCCCAGGCTTTCTCTTTGTGAGGGCTGTCAAGCAGAACTCTAAAACTGATTCACTGTACAGGCACAGGGAGAAGGGAACTAGCATTAACTGAATGCCTTCTTTGTGGCTTTCTGTATACTCGATTTACATCCTTTTTTAGTCAGTATTTACTCAAACCCTGTAATATGGATGGTATCGTCCCCATTTTTTTCTATCCATTTTATACATGAGGATACTGAGCCTTGGAGAGATTAAGAACCTTATGTATGGTCGAACTGCTAAAAATGTAGGCTGCAAAGTCCCTCAGTCTAGCTCCAAAGTCTGTGCTCTGAGCCACTGAGCACAGTGGTTTATAAGACACTCTGCACTCATTTTTCTCACTTAACTATGTATTTCATGGATATTTTTCCAGGTTAATGAGCAACATAACTTTTCCATAGTATAGATATACCTCAGTGTATTTGACTAGCCTCCTACCACCCTGTCACATACAATGCTGCAGTTAAGGTTTTTTCAAAACATGTGTTGTTATGTACTAGTGTATTGATTTCTATATTTGTTAGATCCCCAAAGATGGAGAGGTGGAGATGAGCCAATGGGTTTGGATATATTTAATTATAATAACTACTGCTAAATTATTTTGTTGTTATTGTCACATTTAAGAATTGTGATAAAATACACTTAACATAAAATTTTCTAGATCATTTTTATGAAAAGTTTGTAGCAGTTCAAACTCCCATCACCACTGAATGAGAAGGGGTTTTCCACTTCCGCACTAGCACAGCATGTTCTTGGTCTGTAAACTTTTATCAAGCTGGTAGTTGAATATGGATACTTCATTGTTGCTTTAATTTGTATTTCCCAGACTTCTCGTGAGATTGAGCACCATATCATGTATTTGTTCTTTGCCAAGAAATATGAATTTTCAGTCAAAAGGCTCAGAACTTTGAGATTAAAAAAAAACAAATTTCCATTTAGGGCTTTCCCCCCAAGGGGATATGGATGTGTGTGTATATGTTTAAAGTGGGAGCTTCCTTGGCCTCTGTTCTATGCCCCTGAAATAATTTATTCTGCTTATAAATTAGCCTCTAACAGTGGGGTGCTTTAATAATGAAATAAATTATCTTCTATGTGGATTTAGAAGCTGTCGAAAAAGTGGGAAATAAAAGCGATTTTGAGATACAAATGAATCACTGTGTGTGCCATTGAGTGTTGTCCTTTTGTCAAGTAAGATTCTAATCTGTGCATTTCCAGAATGCATTTCAGCATACTGTTGTAAAGAGCCTTTCAAAAATCAATTCAATGGAAGATGACTTTACATTTTGTAGATGTGAAAAGAGAAAGGATGATGGTCTCAGGGCCTCCTTGCAGGAGGGAGGTGGCCGTCTGCTGGGATGGTATGGAAGCTGTGATCCTTTTCTCATCCTGCATGAGGACAACAAGGAAAGAAGTCCTCTGTAAGTTAAATGAACTGAATTTTATATGAAGTTCTGGTTGACAAGCTAGAAGAGAGCTGGGCCAAACTACCCAGTCGTTCCCATTATTATATTATTACATTTAAAAATTGTGATAAAATACACATAACATAAAATTTGCTAGATTATTTATGACTGGGAAGAGAGGGAGCTTTGCTTCATAGCTACCACCTTCTCTGAGGTGCACCTTCTATGGGTCAGAAGTAAGTGTTTTGAGTAGGTGGATTTTTGCCATTGGGAACTCCTTACACTAAAGTGAAATTCTATCAACTCTCCAGTGAAGAATTTTGTTTGTGTGGAGAGACAGTGCCCTACCTGTGAACCACATTTTAAAATGCATTTTGAGGTTTGAGCTAATAATGTGAATGACATTCAGTGAGATTGCCAAATGCTGGTAATTTACTCTCATTTTCACATTAATGTGGGCCCACCTGTGATGAATTGGAAACTAAATAAGCACATCAGTTTTAATTAGATATTTCAGAGGCTGGATCTAGTTAAACAGCAGTATTCATTCTTATCTATTAAATAGTGAAAGAGTTTAGCACATTCTTCAGAAAAAGTTTACACCCCTCACCCCACCATTTGTCCTTCTTTGTTTTGCAAATATTCCTTGCAGATGGAGCCTTTTGAGTTCAAAAGTGCCTAGGGTGGTGCAAAGAGGGAGAGAGATGATTGCATTTAACTCTTAAAAGATAACCAGATCATCTAGTTCATTTGCAGTACGTTTTACACTAAGAAACATGAATTTGGGAATCTTTCAAAAGACAAATAGAAGATTGTGGTTGCCTGGAGGATGCCAACAGGGGACTAAGAGTTCTGTGTTCCTCAAACACCCATCCTGCAAATCGGGATCTAAAAGTACCACTAGGGTATGGCTAATAGATGCTGAATGACCTTCTATCAGAGAAAGGAGCCATTTTTCAAAATTCAAGACAAGATATTACAGTCCTAACGAAGGCAAAATGTTCTCCGATGCATAAGGGTCTAAGACCTAATGAAAGAAACTAGTATAGATGTGCAGGTAACTTTGATTAATATTTGTGAAGGATGAGGATTAATAGTAGACAATGAGGCTTAAAAATCAGTAGCCCTGAAAAAATTATTTATAGGTGCAATTTTTGCATTGGTTTTAACATCATTCTCTAGTGTCATTTCCCTAAGTGTTTCTACCTGGTTAGACTGAACTCTGCCAGGGTGAGGTTGTGTCTGTCTTACTATGTCTATATCCCCAGTGCTTAGAACAGAGGCTGTTCTATGCTAGGTGCTTAATAAACATTTGTATCCCTCTCTGTATTGCTAATCCCTTGTTCTAAAATGTTCTCTCCCTGCAGATTTCAGTCATTGCCTGTGTCCTGGCTATCCTTTCACCAAAAAGAATTGTGGCAGTATTCACATGTCATTTTTCCTTTGTTTTTCTTAAGAGGGGAGTATCAAACAGTTGGCTCCAGATAGACCTTAATGAGTTTTTTAAAAAATTAAATTCTGGATGCACATGAAAGAAGAAAGAATTCAAAAGGAGTCTATTTGTGTTCAGAAAATCACAGGTGCTTAGAATAGTTTTATTATAGTATTAATTATAGTATCAAAAAAAAAGAAAAGAAGAAAGAAAATTCTAGGAGATAATAAATTGCAGTTCGGTAAATTATGGTGATTTCATACAGAAAACTTCTATTCAGACATTAAAACAATGTTGTAGAGTGAAATATAAGGATAAAATAATTCTAATATGTTAAGAAAAAAAGGAGGTAAAAAAGCATTAGAGCCTAATCACATTTTTAGAAGTATTCCTTCTTATAGAAAAAAGATGAAAGGATTTACATCAAACTTCTTTATAGTTTTCCAAATTTTAGACTATAAAACATATTACTTTTATATTCAGAAAATATGTTATAGAAGTATAGGATTTCTTTGAATAGAAATATCTTTTGCTGGATTTAAAATGTGATGTCATTTCTCAGGAAATTGAGTAGGTCTATGGGAAGGGAAGGTAGTGCTTTTTTTTTTTTTTTTTTTTTTTAGTGTTTATTTTTGAGAGAGAGAGACAGAGTGTGAGTGGGGGAAGTGCAGAGAGAGAGGGAAACACAGAATCCAAAGCAGAATCTGAGCTGTCATCACAGAGCCTGATGTGGGGCTTAAAGTCACGAACCACGAGATCATGACCCGAGTCAAAGTTGGACACCTAACCGACTGAGCTACTCAGGTGCCCTATGGCAGATAGTGCTTTGGAGGTAGCAGAGATGAGTGTGTGGGGAAGGAAATCCTCTGTTTGTGGGTAGTGAAGTAGTTTGAGATCTGCTGTGCCAGTTTCCAGATCTCCCTGGAACATGGCCACAGCAGCTTACCTGAGAAAAAAATGTGCCTTCACAGTGTTCCTGTATGATTACCACAAAGAATTCACAAATGGAAACTGACAGAGGAAGTAGCATTTAACAGCTTTTCATACCTGCTCCTATGTATGTTCTACATGGCTATATAAATACCTTTCTCCCTGAGCGAACGGGTTGGAAATTATTTTCAAATTTACTATCCCTATCTGCTTCATGAATGATCTTTTAAAAAAGAAAATCTGATTACATGTCTACTTAACGCCTTAAATGGATTCTTATTGCCTCATCTGCCTCATCCAGACTCCTTTCTATGATGCACATACATGATGTTGGCGAACTGTCTCCTGCCTTCCTCCCGTGCCCATTGCCCATCACTTCCCCAAGTATGTCCCACGCTTATCACACCAGACAGCTCACAGCTTTTATATGTACCACCCCTATTATTCAGGATGAACTTCCTTCTAGAAACCTCCTCTGAATTCCCTTCTCCATGTGACTTCTTCCTCATCCCTGCCGTCATACATATCTTCACCACACAGCTTACCACATGGCATTGCAGTTGCTTGACTTTCTTGCCTGTCACCTCACTGTCAACTCCTGTAGGGCAGGTATTAGTACTTGACCATCTTTTATTTATATTTCCCATAGGATTTTTGGCCACAGTGGTTGTTAAATAAATTTTTGTTAAATAACCATGTGAGTGAATGCCTGAGACGTTTTGATGGCATGTACATTCAGTTACTGTTGAATTCACCCCTAATCTTGCCTGAAGTTGTTTCCTAGCTGATGTCTTTGCAGCAGGCAGAGCCAAGTGCCCTCTCGGATGCACATTTGTCTAGTGAAGGAAGGTGTGGTTGGGAGAATTTGCATGCCCCAATTTCTAGAACCTTTGAATACTTGTTGTCTCACATGTCAGAAGGATCTTTGAGATGGAATTAAGGTTATGAACCTTAAAACAAAGAGATAATTCTAGAGTATCTGGATCTGGGTGTATCTAGTGTAAGCACAAGTATCCTTACTAAAGGATGTGGGAGGCAGAAGGGAGACAGAATGCAATGGGAAAAACAGGCAGGAGAGATTTAAGTGGGAGATGGGTTGACCCACTCTTGCTGGCTTTGAAGATAGGGGAAGTGAACTATGATCCAAGGAATATAGGCAGCTTCTAGAACCTGGGAGCAGGCCTCAGCTGACAGCTAGAAAGAAAATGGGGACCTCAGACTTGCAAATGCAAGGAACTGGATTCTGCCAACAACCCAAATGAGTAGGAAATGGATTCTTTCAGGTAGAGCCTCCAGAAAGGGCCATAGTGCTGTTGACACCTTAATTTTATCCAGGTGAGATCTGTGTTGGAATTCTGACTTACAGAACTATAAGATAATAACTTTGTGTTGTTCTAAGCGATTAGGTTTGTAGTAATTTGATACAGTAGCAATTGAAAACTGGAATAGAGTTTAGAAATATTTTAGAATGTGTGATTACCTCATTGTCTTCACTTATTCTTTTTATTTTTTAAAATGTTTATTTTTGAGAGAGAGAGAGAGAGAGCGTGCAAGTGAGGGAAGGGCAGAGACAGGGAGACAGAGGATCTAAGCGGGCTCTGTGCTGACAGCAGAGCTTGCTGCGGGGTTTGAACTCATAAACTGTGAGATGATGACCTGAGCTGAAGTCGGACACTTAACTGACTGAGCCACCTCAGGTGCCTCTTCACCTATTCTTAAGTAAAAGGAAATAAGAATAGAAGGAAGAGAACCCTTCATAGTTGATGAAAGAAAGGTGGGGGGGATAGCGTCCCTTTGTTAATATGTGTATATGAAATCAGTTTTGCCATTAATTTACTTTTAAAATCTTTAGCTATTCATCCAAACTCCTTCCTTCTGTCCCTCTGCCTTTTCTTACCACTTGCATACATTCCCTCCCTCCATCTTTGCATGTTTCCTCTTCTCCCTCGTCCAGTCTTACTCACGTGCTCATTTTTCATTACTGTTGGGCCATTTACCCAGATAACCTTTAAGTGTAACCAGTTAACACACTAACAGAACAGCAGATGAAAGGGGCCCCTGGGTGGCTCACTTGATTAAGCATCTAACTTCGGCTCAGGTCATGATCTCATGGTTCATGAGTTCGAGCCCCGCATCAGGCTCTGTGTTGACAGCTCAGAGCCTGGAGCCTGCTTTGGATTCTGTGTCTCCCTTTCTCCCTGCCCCTCCCCTGCTGGCATTCTCTCTCTCTCTCTCAAAAATAAATAAAAACATTAAGAAAAAAAAAAAAAAGAACAGCAGATGAAACTTGTACTTTCCTCACTACCTAGAACTGCCTGTCATCTTTTCACAAAGCCCAATGGGCATAAATTGGTATTTCTAAATACAAATTTTCTGGTTTTGTTGTTTTCCTGATCCCGTTTTTGGATTTTCATTACTTAATTTCACCAAGTATGTAAGTGACACACAATCTCTCAGGAAGCCTCTGATAAATTGGATGAATTTTAAAGTGGCATTGCTTTCTTTCCCTTTTGACCTGTGTCACTTTGGAAGATGGCATTCTCTTTCTCACAGTTGTTTCCCCAAATGTTCCAAGATTGCTATTTGTGCTAAAACAGGCTGTAGTAGAAATAGCATTGGCC